CATTTTGCATATTAACTATTCATGGCCATGTAATTGGGGGCATGGCAAAAGTGTGATCTTCTTTTCCAGCTTAGGAACTGGGGAGTATATTTGTATATTGCAATATGTGTGATTGTCTCAGTAATATACACTACAGTGATATCATCAAAAGAACCAATCTGTGTCAGCTAGTATTAGATAGTGCTAGTTAATACTGGGCTAATAAGATCACTCAAAATATATAAATAAACTCTAGTTCATAACTCTACAATGAAAGTTACCAAGTTACCTTCTTTAAAACGAATATGTCTCCTAATCGCTAGGCATGGGTTTATGGAATGATCTTAAAGTGACATTAAAGTCACATTGTTTCCCGATCCCCCCCCCCATGCTGCTTTAAAGACTTACCTTAAATGACACCTCTTGATCTGATCATCTTATTCTTTCCTGTAGTTTTCAGGAGCCCCTCTAGCGCTGGAGCCTCTGATCCAGCGCTGACTGTTGTGTCTTCTGTCTCCCACGGTGTCTGTCCATGTGCACGCTGTCGGGCTGTGTGCATTCACTTACACTGTGCCTCTTCTCTTCTCCCGGTCGAAGATCTCTACTATGCATGCGCCCGCCCCATCATGCTGCTCGGTCGCTTGAGAATCTTCAGATCTTCGGACGGGAGCGATCGGCGGAGACAGAGGTAAGTAAATCCCTTTTTTGTATATTTCTTTTATGTTTTCGCAATTATCTACTGCTACCGAGCAGTAGATATATGCAAAAAAAAAGAGTTTACTTATGCTTTAAAGAGTTAACAACAAGGTTTTAACTATAGTTTGCAAGCAGCAGCTCTCTCTTTATTCATTATTTGTACTCGTCATTTAAAGCATTCAATACAAATAAATTACAATACCACTTACGTATGCTGTGCACATATTTGTTTCATACAAAAAGTTTACATTTTCTATGCAGTGATCATAGTATTTGTTTCTGCTTCCAAACATGTGGCCCATTGGCTCCTATTGTGGGGTCCCTACAGACATTAGTGTTTTCCTTTATATTCAGGGTTATTCACAAAAGGAGGAGTTTGGAGAAGGCAGGAGAAGCGAACAATCTAGGACAACATAGCTGAACTGGAAAGTGAGCTAAATTGGAGAATTTTTTCAAATCAGCTATTTTGGCTTAGAGTGTTCACTTCTCCTGCCTTCTCCAAACTCTTCACCCTTTTGTGAATAACCCTGATAGGCTTTTCCTCGGGCCAGTAAAGAAAAAATATATTCTAGATCGGGTTTGTGTAGTAAAGCGGCTTGGTATTTTTTTCACACTGTACCTTTTTTTCTGTGCTGTCCACCTCTTTCCTATTTTTATGTGTTTTATTTGCCTCAAATCTTTTATAGTTGATCTTGCTGAGAGTAATATAAAATGTGGCACATGTAATTTTTAAGGAAGCAAAAATGTGGAAGCATTGATTTGTAAAGAGGCAGTAATACCAGTGATCTCTAGCAGTCTCATGTACTGTTTCTACAGATGAATCAAGCATGTCCCATAGCCCCCAAAAATTTGATAGCATGTTCGCAGTCTCTAACCATCCCCTACAGCAGTGGTCCCCAACCCCTGGGCCACAGACCGGTATCGGTCCGTGGATCAAATGGTACCGGGCCGCCCAAGGAACGTGTGCGACTTTCCATGGACGAGAGGTTTAAGGCCGTCACACACTGCAGGCGAAGCAGCGCGCCGCACAGGCGAGCGGCGACTCGCGGTCCTTCGCCTGCAGTGTGTCTAGTGAGTTCCGATCCCCCGTTCTGCCCGGTGACAGCGTGCACAGCGGTATTTTTTGGTGTAACTGTATTTTATTTTGAAGGCATGTTTCAATACAATTAAATTAAAATTATTAAATCAAAACAATCTAAAATATAAACAATCAACGTCCCCCCCCCCTCAGAGGGCCGCGGTAAAATTATCAAACGTTGACTGGTCCGCGGCGATAAAAAGGTTGGGGAGCACTGCCCTAAAGTCTCGAAACATCTCTTGTGACATGATGTCGTCTTCAACCATCTCCTGTTGCATGTCTTACATTCACTGAAAATGATGTGCTGTATTCGTTGATGTCTAGGGCCTGGCTTACACGAAAGGATAGGAGAAGCAGCTCTAGCCTGAGCAATGTCTCTAATGGCCACTACACAAATATACCCTGTAGTTCTGGCTGCTTGTTGCTATTGTAGCAGAATTGCTATTCACTCCAAGGACATCAAACACTAAATTAACTAAATTTCAATTGTACCCAAAATGCACCTTGCAGTATTTCTCTTAACCAATTCCATACATTCCATGTTTATTTGCCTTAGAAGCAGGAGAATATTCCTTTGCTGGCAGTTTTATTTGCAACACATTAAACCTTATTTATAAAACTGTCTAAAAAGCTGACACAGACATATATATATATTGTGCCATTCAGTTTCTTACTTCCCATCTCTAATACAGGAAAAAGGAAAGGAAAAATATGCTATCTGTGACTATTCTTTACTCGATTTCCTCAATAGTAATCGGTGGACTTAAGATTGTCAGTAAGGGTTTAATATCATGCTTTGAAGCAATTTAAAGGAACCTGCACTGTGAAAAACATATAGGATGCCATTGTTGATCTTCTGAAGCTGCTTTTATTCTTGCTGTCGTTTCAATCCCTTGGTTTCAGATACTCACAAACAAGTGAAGGCAGTATAGGCCAAATCTACATACTCATTTTAGTAGGTGACTGAATCCATTGGATCAGGATGACAGCTATGCACCTAGTATTTTTAGGAGTGGTCAGCAATGGCAGCATATTTCTCTCAAAACAGGTTTCCTTTCCTGTACCTGTTACACTTAGCCCTTGTTAGGTGCGAGCAAGCTATAATTGTTCCTGCTCTTGATGATATGCACCTTTACGTTTACAGCCTGATTTATATGACAACGGTCATCTTTAACATATGAGCAAAGACTTATCATACATTGAACAATATTATTTTAGGTTACATCTTAAATAGTGTTAGTGGACAGGAAATGGTAACACATGAGTGCTAGCATTTGAGCTTGAAAAATAACAATGTAACCCATAATTCGCTTTATGTGCAGGTAGCCATGTGCTATACTTTCATGTTCCTCACATAATTCCACCTAAGAATGGTTGCACAAATGCCTCAGCTGTATACTTTGGTTCTGAAAAATGCTGCAATTATAGTGGCTATTAATATCTTGGCTATAACCTCCTGTGACTCTGGGAACAAAGCTTGTTCTGTGGTACCAGATAGAGTGTATCATAAGGTCATATTTGATATGTGTCTAAAGTTTCAAAGTATGTGTAACTCCATTCCTGAGATTGCTATGAAAGTATTCACAATTATCCATGATGTTCTTCCTTCCAGCTAAATTGGGATCCTAACAAAGACAGAATGATAGCTGCTGCTGCCAGCAGGCACTACTGCTAAAGAGAATGGCTGCAATTAAAACGAAAAAGCTTTTCCTTTGGTCATAGGAGAAAACAGTAAATCTTTGCTAAATCAATGAGCATTTCCAGGGGCTTTTCTACAGTGATAACAATACGCAGAAAATATTTCGATATGAAATGCAGAGTCCAAATGGTAAAAATGCCTCACTCTGAGGTAGAAAACCACAGAGCAAGCATTTATGTAATGAGTATACACTGTCATGGTTATATCATTTCTTTCTCAGCATACTTATCTTAGTAACTACAGATAAAGGCTTTGGTCACAGCTGAGGTGAAATACTACTTACTGGTTTGCGTTTTACTGAATAAAGCTGGTAATACACAGAAAAGATCCTTTGAAATCATTTTTTATTTTTGTGACAACCTCTCAGGGAACCAGTAACAACAGAGTCTATATGAGTATGTGCAGAATTATAACAAGTGTGTTGTTTTGTTTTTATATAATTATGTATGTTTTTATATGCCCCCTTATTTAGCTTTACCACTCTAGCTGTGGTGAAATGGTTAGTGGCTGGAATGCACTGGATTGCATAATGAAAGTCTCCTGCGTTCTGGGGCGGGAGGGGAAGTGGCGGTGCCATTCAAGTCAATGGCATTGCAGCCACGCCTCCTGCCTGCAGTGCAATCGCCTGCACCAGAACACGTGGCAAAGAAATGCCTACAATGCAAGCACTGTTTTCTATGGTTGCACCACACGGGTAGTGAGGCGTGGCTGTGGTGCCATTACCTTGAATGCACCACCACGCCAGCTCCCGCCCCAGTGAGCAGGCAGGCTTGCTCTATGTGATCCAGTGCATTCCACCCACTAACCGTGCTGGAATGCACTGGACCTGGTGTGAACAAGCCCTAAAAGGGATATGCCTCCACTTTTTGAGAGATTTCTACTCACTTTTTGTTGTGACTGCAAAACAGTCAAGTTAAGGGAAATCTGCCTAGCGGAGCACTGACAGCAAATAAAGCCTGAGAAAAGTTCTAACCTTATTGCTTGCTTCATTTTTGCAGGTAATTGCATGAAAATACTTTCTTACATAGCCTTATCATTCAAATTTGAATACACAAAAAATTGCACAAATATAACTACGCCCATATTTTAATGGCTACAAATCAGTCAGCTAGATTAGAGGACTCTTTGCCCTCCCCTGTATGCATTGATTCATGTCCTTAAATATCTAGATGAAGCAGGATTTTTGAATGAACGCCTAATTATAAGGTATTTTATTAAAGTTGTTGTTTGACTTTATTTACTAATATACAACTTGTCCCAGGTTTACAAAAAGCAACTTTTCTTTCTTAGTCTGAAATGAATGCATTGGGAAGAACAGCAGCTTTTTATCATGCTGTGAGCTGTAGTAGCATCACAGCAAAAAAAATAAAAAAGGAAGAAAGAAAATAAATGCGAAATAAAGAGTAAGCATTTGCCTTCCTGGGACCTGTGTAAAGCACAAAGCAAGGCTCACATGATCGCAGCTGGTTTTGATGTGGTAATGAAGCATTGATCACAGGAATAAAAAGATGAAATGGCCTTTGCTCATTCATTATTTTTTTCTTCTAGCCGTGGAAGACAGAAAATTGTTCATAGGCATGGTTTCGAAGAAGTGTAACGAGAACGATATCAGGGTGATGTTTTCTCCATTTGGTCAAATAGAAGAATGCAGAATCCTACGGGGACCTGACGGACTGAGTCGAGGTGAGTGTGCCATCTGTAAAGAACCTATGCTTAATAGTTAATTGGAGCAGTATGTCACAGACAGCAGATGGGATGTGCCAGAGGTCACTCATGATGGCTTCCCATGCAATGTAGTTACCCACGTGTACTTTCCACAAAGATGGAAAGAAGTAATCACTTTTATTTGTAAAGTCAAAGGGGGTCTCTATGGGAAGCATGACTTGGTGAGTTATCTATTACAATGCAACATGGATACAATAAAGCAATGTATCTTCAGTCACTTGCTTGCAAAGTGATCGCAGCTCTTTAAAGGATTTTTTTTCAAAAGTAACATTTATGACGGCAATGCTGACAGCATTACCAGCATATACCATTTTCACAGGACAGTTTAATTCATTGCCTTCAAAACATTCTGGGATATGTAGGCTTTGATTTCAGCTTCCAGACGCTTTCTGGCTTAACCCTTGTCATCTAGGACTATCCGAGAGCTATAAATGTGAATATTGTTAACATCAGTGTAAACAGAGATTTTAGCCACCAATCTCAGCTTTTTCCTAAAAACATATAAAACATAGTTTTTTAAGTAGGGAGGAAGGTATTCTGCAGGGTTTTTTTTATAAATCAAGTGTTTTAATGTATCATAAGACCTTGTTAGTGATATTCTCAAAGCCTTTTAGGTAGCTGGGGATTAGTAAGCTACTATTTCTTATTCCTATTAAATAAAAAGAACAAGCAATGCAAAGATCAATGCATCTATTTTCTGTTTTTTGGTGTGGTAAATATACCTTTTGAAGGTGTTCAATAAGTGCAAAACAAAAATATGTTTATACTACTAGAAATCTTGTGAGTTGAACCTCTACTCTCTGTCTGTTACATTGCTTTCAGTTACATTGTTCCCAGCTCTCTCTGTTCAGTACAAAATACTCCCCCATTGTGTTTTTAAGAAGAGAAGAGATGTGTTTTGCAGTTCTGTCCTAAGGTGACAATGCTGCCCCTTCATAGATGAGTACAATGAGTGTACTTTGTCACCCTAGGTCAGGCAGTGTGTTACTAGCAGGATCACCATGTGAATGTAATGTAGCAACCTTATCTAAAAACTAATTAGCTGCAATTTATTAAAATGTCATTTTTTAGGTTTCAATATGCTTTAAATGCATGCATATTTTACATATAGTTTGTATTACTTTAGAATTACTTTAGAATTTCACAGTAATGTTTTTATATCCAGCTTTGTAGCATCCCTGAAGCACAGCCTTCTCTGCTGAAAACTATACATTATTATTCTCGTGCTAAAGTGCAATATAACTATTACATTTTTAAAGGATTTAAAGGTGAATCTAAAATCATTTGAAGCCTTTAAATCTGAATCTAAGTTGAAATACCAGCTATAATGTCATGCACAATACAGGCCCCTTATTTCTTATAAAATTACTCTTAAAGCATATTTTTAAAGCAGTTAATGTGACTTTCAGAAAAATAAAAAATTACTAGTGGTGAAACAATCACATGTGTGTAAAAGATTCAGCTGCAGTGAATGTCAGAGTTTTGATAAATATTTATATATACAGTATACATTAAATAATTATATATATAGATATATATATATCTATATATCTATAGATATATATATATATCCCTAAGTGTGCTTCCAGTGATGGCCATCCTTCCTGCCTCCTGCTGAATATGTTTGGCTCACACTTCACACATTTCTTTTTATACCATTGAAGTGTTAGCTCCCAACCTTTCCTTAGTCAGTCACCCCTTCCATTTTTGTCAACTAAGCCACTAACTTTACGGCATAGAACTGTAAAAAAGTTGCAGTGTATTACCAAAAAAGAGTGTAGTTGTCATACAAGATCCATATATTCATTTGCCCATATCACCACCTTTTCTACTGCCCACCTCATCATTAAGGCTGGGTTCACACCTGGGCGTACGGAATATGCGTGTTTGCTGCACGTTTTTACAGCGATTTGCGGTAAACAAACGTGACAAACGCGCGTTTTCGAGGGTTATCCGGCTGTATCCTAATGGATACGCACGGCAAATACGCCCCAAAGAAGCTCCTGTACTTCTTTGGGCGTAGGGCGTTTTTCTGCGCGTTCCTACGTGCTGTAAAACGTCCAGGTGGGAACCATGCCCATAGGCAATTATTGGTTCTCACATGTTGAGCGTTTTACAGCACGTAGGACGTGCTGTAAAACGCCCAGGTGTGAACCAGGCCTAAAGATCATTTTGCACCAAGAGCATTCTTGTGCACCACCCACTCTCATATCCACTGGCCACCTCCTGCTTCTACACCTCCTGACCTATGCCCACCTGTTGACCTATGCTCACTGCACACCATCTACTTTTTACCTCCCGATTTTCCTATATTTCCTACCCTCCACTTAGCTGGTCCTACTTCAGCTACTGCCCAACTGTCACATTCAAGCCTTTTTTTTCCTGAGCTCACCTGCTGCTGTCACACCCCTCTTCCCTCTCCTCATTTGGTGCAGCCTTCCCCCACCCCCCATCCTCACACATACACAGACACACATGCACAGAGCTCATTTTACCACAGTAGCAAGTTTTTACCATTGGTTGACCTGTGGACAAGTCTGGGTGTCAAGCATCTGCTCAAAGCAAAGCTTACTCCACTCACTTCCAATATTGCCTGCCCTTGCCATAGCTACCACCCAATCTAATTCCAACCAATTATACAAAAAATTACCTTGTTTGTTCACAGTTGCTCTCCACCACAACTGTCAACAAATCCATGTCATGACTGGAAACAAACACCTAGAGGATTACAACTCTACTAGATAGATAAACAATTTTGTCCTGGAAGTGAAAACACATCTCCTGTGACATCACAGCACACAGCCATAATTACAGCACCGCACACAGCCAGAAAGTTTCAGAAACACTAGCCACCACCACTTATTTTACAAAAAACTTTAACTGGGTAAACTTTGAAACTATAAAATATTTCCATGTCTTGACATGGATTATATTGGTCTTCACTCCTTAGGAATGGACCATAGGCTAGTCCAGGCTGGCTGCCAGGGTAATCTCATTCCTGATTAGTTCCTTCAGCCCAATGTTTCTTGGAGGTAGAAGCCTGACTGAGAGACACAATACTGGTGAAAACAGAAGTTGTTTCTTGGACAAATGTAATCACAAGGTTTTATATGGCGCCAACAGTTTGCACAGCGCTTTACAATATAAGGAAGACATTACAATCACAAGACAAGATGGTAAGGAGGACCTTTCCCATGACAGCTTACAATCTAAAAGGGAGGGGGCAAGTGATACATGAGGAGATAGCTGTGTGGGGATGAATTGTTTGAGAACGTGAAGGTTCAGTGGTTAGGTTGAGGTGGGATAGGCTTCCCTGAAGAGATGAGTCTTAAGGGATGGCCTGAAGGCAGTCGGAGTGGGAGATAGTCGGACAGGTTGGGGTAGACGGTTCCATAGGATGGGAGAGACTCTCGAGAAGTCCTAAAGACGAGTTTTAGGAGGAATTGACAAGGGAGCTGGAAAGCAGGAGGTTTTAGGAGGAGGAGAGGGGATGGTTAGGGTGATATTTTGAGACAAGATTTGAGATATATCTAGGGGCAGCGTTGTGGATGGCTTTGTAAGTGATTGTTAATATTTAGAATGTTATACTTTAGGCGAGTGGAAGCCAGTGTAGGGATTGATAGAGGGGGGTTGCAGACACTGAGCAGTTGGTCAGGTGGATGAGTCTAGCAGCTGCATTCATGATAGACTGAAGGGGGGATAGCCTGTGTAGTGGAAGGCCAATGAGGAGGGAGTTGCAATACTCATGACGGGAGATAACAAGGGAGTGGATGAGTAATTTAGTGGTTTCATTGGTGAGGAAGGGGCGTATTTTGGAGATGTTATGAAGGTGAAGGGGGCAGGATTTGGACAGTGATTGGATGTGGGGAGGAAAGGTGAGGTCCAAGTCAAGGATGTCACCTAGGACCTTGGCATGAGGGGAGGGATGGATGGTTGTGTTATCGATCTCAAGGGAAATGTTGGGGGAAGGTGCACGGGCAGGAGGAAATATCAAGAGCTCAGTTTTTGAAAGATTGAGTTTTAATAAGTGTTGTGACATCCAGACGTATATGTCAGATAGTAGATTAGTGACACGAGAGGACACAGAGGGGGTGAGTTGTAGAGTGGAAAGATATATTTGAATGTCATCGGCATAGAGATGGTATTGGTAGCCATGTGAGGTTATTAACTGAAAAATGGAGGAAGTGTAGATGGAGAAGAGGAGGGATCCAAGGACAGAGCATTGGGGGACCCCTACAGAAAGAGGAAGAGGAGGGGAGGAGTTAGAGTTGTAGGTGACACTAAAGGAGGGCTTAGCTAGGTAGGAGGAGAACCATGAGAGAGAGAAGAATCTTGTAGGCCAAATGAGTAGAGTTTTTTGAGGAGCAGCGGGTGGTCAACAGTGTCAAAAGCAGCAGAAAGGTCTAATAGCAAGAGTAAGGAGTAGCGGACATTGTTTTTAGCAGTTAGTAGGTCATTGGTGAGTTTTAGGAAAGCAGTTTCAGTGGAGTGTATGGGGCGAAAGCCGGACTGTAAGGGGTCCAAAAGGTTGTTATTAGTGAGGTGGCGACTCAGACGGTTGTAGATAAGGCGTTCTAGTAGTTTAGAGGTGAATGGGAGTAAGGAGATAGGTCTGAGGTTATTGAGGTTGGTAGTGTCCATTTAGAGGGGAAGGAAAGATGCCTGTAGAGAGTGAAAGATTGAAAATGTGAGTAAGAGAGTGTAGGATAGAGCAAGAGGGTGCCCGAAATAGTGTTGAGGGAACAGGGTCTAAGGGGCAAGTGGTGAGGTGGGTGTCAGAGAGAAGCTTTGTAACCTCCTCTGTGGTGACAGGGTTAAAAGAGGAAAGTAGCAAGAATACCCCCCTCCTCCCCCCCACACACACACACACACACACACACACAAACACTTCCCATTAGTCCCATTTCTATTATCTGTAAATACAAAAGTAACTGTGGGGGCTTTCTTCTCAACAGTAG